GCCCCCACGACACCCCACAAAAACCGTTCAACCGCTATTGTAAAAAACCTACGAAAACCTTAAGTCTCGAAAGCCCCCGGACCATGACACCCCGTAAAGCCGCGAATTCAATTTGGCTTAAGCTTGTAATTTATGTACCATGTACGTCACATTCAATACGCCCCCATGAATTCGAGCACCAACGATCTCAGCCGAGGCAACCCCGAAAGCCAAGGCCAAAGCGAAAGCCAAGAAGCAGCCGAAGAAGTAGGTGGGGCTGGGAGCCTCCGGCCGTGTGCTGAGCAGCCAGCAGCACGCACTGTTGTTTTTGGCGGGTGTTGCTAGCCGGATCGAGAATATTGCAATAGGTAATGTCCTGCTGGGCTATGTATGCATGTACGTACATATAGACGGCTAAACGTATGTACCATGCGGATTCGGTCTAGCACGCCTTTGGGATGAGCTGTTGGGTCTAACGTTCGACACAGCTCCGCGCAACAGTGCCTAGGAGCTCTCGCTGGCATGCAAGGCATGCGAACTTTTGCAGCTGGGCAGGCCTTTAGCTTAGATCTGCTATAGAGGCCCGTGTCCGGATCACATGCACACGCATACTGCGTGCTTTTAAATCGTCCCTACGTGCTGGGTGATCCTAGCGACCTTCCGGGACACTGCTGAAAAAAATGCACGCAATGCAGCTATATGCCTAGCTGACTGTACCGGTACCCATGTGCAAGCTATGCGTACATTTGTACATGTATGAAATGCGCACGTAACATTCGCTCGCAGGTGCTGATCACGATGATTTGGGGCCTTTTGCCCGCCACGTTCTTCAAGCTACTGGCAAAGGGGACAGCGTCTGTGCGATCTATTTCGTACATGATCTGGCCTCGCCATAATATAGCCATTCCCATAATTGCAGCTAATGTTGGCAGGACCTCAGCTTTGCTGCTGCGAGACAGATGCTGGAGGAAAACAGCAAGGACACCGTCAGGGGAATCGTAAATCTTCGGTACAGGGTCCGGACATGACTTCTGCTGCTAGCTAGTGGTACTTCGAACTCGGGATGTGGACGACCAGTGACTGCACATACAATACTAACTATGATATAATAAACTAATATTAGTAAGATCCTTAATTAATGTTTGAAACCATAGATTTCGAGCAGGAGCTGAAAACTTTGTCGGCAACCCTGCGGCCGACAGCTGAAAAACTCCGAAAGGCTGGCAACACAGGCCAACGTTCCGGAAACATCGAGCGTGATTGCATGAGAACGATATCAAAGGCAATGGACCTCGTGCCTCGGTGCAACTTTATAAACGGTGAATGTGCAATTACTTTATATGGATCCGGACAGTTCAACCAATCTGTGGTGAGGTGCCCGTCAGCACTGTGAAAGTGCCGATGTTCAAGTCGGTGACCGATCAGACTGTGGTTCTACGGTCCTTCGATCGCGCTGGGTTTAGGGTTTAGGGTTTACATCAGATCTATGCCCTAGATGAGTTCATGAATATCAGATTCGAGTTAATATCCCCCAACCACATCCCGTATCCAGGAACCTACCGGTGGTGCTTCCGCACCAGCTGATAGCCCACCTCCATCGCTATCAGCATCTTGTCTTTGACGAGGACGAATGCAGCAAGTACTGGGATCACAGTCGCCGCTGGTTCGAGTGGGGCGAGGCTCATTATGAACTACGCCAAAGCATCGGGTCTGGCACTCCACATTGCCCTTTATTCCTTTATGGGGATGATACCAAGTTTTCGGAAGAGGAGAAACTTACAATCATATGCCTCGGTGGAATCCTTGACGAACGCTCCTCAAGCATGGAAACACATTGGCCCTTGTTTGTCGTGAGGGTTGCTCCCTGGCTGATACTGATGTTTAATTTGTTTGGCTAGCAGCCACTCGATATCTCGTATCGATTTTCCATGATCTGTACTTTCCCGAGGCTTTGAGTACTGGGTTTTCTACCATCCAAGCCTTCATGCGACCCGCAACGTGGCCTATTACGTGTACTTTTGGAGGTTCAGGGGTGGTTATGATATTATCCGTGGGGTTATAGTATATGTAAGCTTGTATTAATTATATATAGGACTTTAATCTACCCGGGCCCCTGAACCTCCAATTGTACTATCTGATCGATCTAGATCTAGAATGGCGCGGCATGCAAGCTTAAGGTGGTCGAAAGCTTGAACGCTTTATTTGCTGGGATGGAGCCTGGAACCGGGACGCCTCTGAAGTGCCCTCCGTGTGCCGTCACGGAGCTACGCGGTGACTGGAAGTTCTTCAAGGAGTTTCGAAACAAACCGGGCCCCATAACAGTAGTCTCCATTGTAGTTCCTTTGTTTGGTTAACCAATACATATATTATAGGATCCTAACCATAAAACTGGTTAACCAAAAAAGGAACTACAAAGGAGACTCTATGTGTAAATTAAAACCCCAACCCTGAACCATGATAGAACCCATGCGGCTTCTTGCAAATTGAGGAATGGTTTGGATTCGTGAAAGTGGGGTGGTCGAGCAACCAGCTCTGCCACCATTGCAAGGTGAACCTTAAGAACATGTTCGATGATCCAAAACCTTCTTCGATGGCTGATATTCCCCGACGCGACCTTATCAACTTCGAGCACGTGTGCACGAAGATGACAGATGATTGCGGTGAGAAGTGCTACTTGTATTTTTAATCAATAGCTTTTGAACCCCATACATATTATATTACTATAGTATATAACCCTAGCCCTAACCTCCGCACGACTGCACGGGGCTTTGTCTCATCGATGTCGACAAGGCGTACTTCTTCGGCTGCAGGGCTTTCACCCAGCTATGCTGCGGTGGTGTTCGCTACACACCATTAATTTAGGAGTTCTGGTGTGGACCCTCGCCGGCAGCATGAGGATCTTTGCTGAGAAGGCTTGAACACAAGCCCCAAACTAAAGCTTCAATCTAGGAAAACCCATAATATAAAGGCTTATGCAGGTTCCTTGCAACTTGTAGCATGGACCCCCCTGATTCGTGCATCCAAGCATCGTAATATATTATATACGAATGTCGTCCCTGGCGCAGGAGGTGTGGGGCGGCGGCACGCTGGCGGAGAAGCTCAACGCCGCCTTTGTCGAGTTCAAGGCTTTCTGTCATGATCGGAAAATCATCTGTTCCCAACCCAAGTTTCTTCCGAAGATGCTGGCCCGAAATGGGGATACCGAGTTCACTGGCAAGGCGTACAACGCAGCGAGGTTGCAGGTCAGGAGTTTTGTTGTAATTATACGTAGGGGTTTTAGAACCGTGAATTCGAGTTCGAGTCCCGGATATCCAAATAAGCAATCATCCCTCGATTGGAATTCGAGGCAAGAGTCATGATTGCCTGGATTGCCAACACTGCGGCCCTCCAGCTGTACAAGCCGGACTATGCAGGGGATGAGCTCATGACATCGATTGCTGAGTGTACGTTTCTTGGATAATGATCAAAAAAGCATCCCCTAGATCTATATGCATAGCACGGTCTTATTGCAGGTTCTCGCTCGCTCGCATGATGGACCACTCCGAAGTATCTCCACGATACCTTTGCCTGTCCGATGTGCAGAAGTTCGAAGCTCTGGGTGACGCCAGGTTGCAAATTGAATATGCTACCTATCATGAATCTAGGGACCTGAATACCCGGATTTTAACAAACCCACGTGGCCTGCAATCCCAGGAGACATCGCTGCAGAAGTACGGCCACCTCGCTTCGCTATCGGCAATGGCTGGGAGGCCTTACTTTCCAGTGAAACCCAAACTTCATGCAGCCTGGTTGCGATTAGCATTCATAAAGCTTGCTTCCAATACCTCGATCGAATTATTGCTCGCTTCACTCCCTAGGGCATGCTCGAATTGCTCTATCACTGCGTTCGCGAGCGCTACAATTGGAGATACTACCATACATTTGCCAGCGAAGATTTTAACGGGCACTTCATCAGAGCCTTGGCAGAAATAATGTGTAGCCTGCTGGGACGACAATATTTTTAAATGCAACTTCCCCCGCGAGGCATTGCTGAGAAAGTCCACGCACGATCGCTCGAAAGGAGCTCTTTGCGACGGTACTTTCTGTGGCTACTGGGCTATTATTCGATTCGTCTAGTCTAGCTTGTGAGGTTTGTTCGTTTTGGGTCCTTGGGTTTTGCAGTGCAATAATAAGTAATTTAGATCTCAGGCTGCAAACGAGGCTGCAGCTGTAGATGTGCGATTCGGCGAGCAGCTGCGTTTTGATGCAAGCGCCGCTGTGTGACAGCATGTGTTTTGACGCAAGCTGCGAATGAGGATGCTGGGATAGCTAGCTTGGCATGGCGAGCAGCAAGCAGTAAAGTAGTGCAGCTCGAAGCATGCTGCCGGGGAGCTGAGCTGCTGCCGCGTGGCGGAAAAATCGCAGCTCGAATCGGTGGGCTCCAATTGCAAGCCCTCATCTCGGAGCCTAAACCTTCCTGAACCTCAAACCCTCGGCCCCAAACCCTATTTCCTTCCAAAGGGTTTTACCTTTGAGCTCCAACGTTAACGACCTATGATCTATGCCCATTCAAATCTTAATGCAAACCCGCGGCTTCGATCGAGCCCTGAGCCCCCGAACCGTAACCCAGAAATTGATTAGTATATATACACCCCATTATAACGACCGAGAACGTTTCCGGATCGATCAATCTCTCGAGCTCACGATCTCCCTGACTCTCTCTGGGATCTGGGGTTTGGGGGCCGGGCATGTGCGTGCAGGTACGACTTGTGTGTGTGTGTGTGTGTGTGTGCCTCTGTGTGTGTGTGTGTGTGTGTGTGTGTGTGTGTGTGTGTGTGTGTGTGTCTGTGTCAGTGTGTCTGTGTGTGTTCGTATACATCGATCAAAGCTTTTGCTCATGCCTTCCTTTTTTTCATAGCTTCTACAACACAAAAGTTACTATTTCTATACTTTTGTCCATTCCCATACATATGACCATTTGTGTGCGCGGAAAGGCCACTCTTCCAAATAACGGCCGCGATTTGCATGTACTGTCTATTCCGTTACGCAAGAGCCTTTGGGTTCAGTGCAATGGATCGGACGCACTCGCGGAACGCAGAGTTGCATTCATTTTCAAGCATTCCATACTTGCACTCATCGAGGAGATCCTCATATCGCGTACCATCGGGAATCTCAACCCATGAGAGTGCGTATCCGGGATCGTAGGCGAATGCGTTCGCGACTCGCTCTTTCATATCGACGATCCAGCGTCGCAGCTGAGCAGGCTCCGGCTCGGGATCGAGACGAAAGGACTTGCACTTTGCCTTCTTGGCCTCGCTCAGCGATCCATCGCCCTTGGGTCCACCGAATCCCGAATCGTTGGGACCAGGTGGATTCCCAGTCTGTCTCTCAAGACACACGAGACAGATTCTCAAAGGATCTCGGCAACATCCGTTGCAGCACGAAAAACGGCAAGAGATGCATGATCGCCGCACGGTGGTCGGGAAAGTTCCGGCGCAGCGTTCGCACTGGAATGTATCGCTCCCACTCGGCCGACCGGGTGGCCTGATGCTAGGCGGATCAAGGCCGCCATCAGGCGGACCACTCCCATCAGGAGGGCCACCACCACCAGGCGGACCACCAGGTGGGCCGTCAGGTGGGCCACCACCTCCACCGGGGCCAAAACCGGACCCGTGGTGTCCATGTCCACCGAAACCACCGCCATATGCACCCCCGTTATCGTTGGGGCCATCACCACCAGAATAACCGCCGCCTCCGTTATGCGCGGGCGGCGGTCCACCAAATCCGGATGGCGCGACACTGGGTGCAGGAACGGACGTTCTGGCGTTGAAGGTAGGCATCGGGGGCATGGCATCGTTGGCTGCATCATGCTGAAGCGTCGCAGTAACACTCGTGTTCGGTGCAAGGGTAAAAGTGCCGGTCTCACTATGGAGAATTGGATCGCCAGCACTATTGCCAATGAGATTTGACCGGCCAAGCATCGCATCATACCATCGTGATGGTCCCTTCCCAGCCGGGACAGTTCGGGTATCATAGGAGATTTGGCATGGGAAGGTCTCACTTGACCTGGGCTCAGGAGCGAAGCTCCGAGCTTCAGGGACGTGTCGGATGTCAGTGCGAGGAGCATCATCGACTTGAAATGGCCTGAGGCTCGGAGTCTGACCGGAAGTCGCTCCGGCGGCATTTGCGGAAGGAACGGCCTGATTCGGCGATCTTCCTGAGAAACACGCCGACGTTTGGCCAAAATTATGGCGAATGGGCTCAACAGGATTATTTTGCCCACGACTTTCGGCTGTTTGTTCGTCAGCGACTCGTTGCTGCGCTCGCCTCAGAATTTCATCGAGATTGATTCCACTCGTCTGAGAGTGAACCGTTGAGGCTTTTTCAGCAGGCGCAGCGTTGCATCCCGGCGGAGAGCCATGATCGATCGGACCCAACAGGGAAGACCTCGGAATGGCCGTAGTCGGTCCGCCAGGGAATAGAGCACCTGGAACTGGCGGCAGGTCCGCAGGGCGTGGAATATCCCCACCATGGTCACTGATATCGAAGAACTGCGTTCGTTCTGGACGCGAAGGCGTCGATCTATCAGAACCGCCTCTGCGGACATGAGCGTTCTCGAGGTGCTGGATTCGAGCAGTCAGCTGATCGATATGAGCTCGGTTACTCTCCTTATGATCGTAGAGAGCGCGACTCATCTCGGATCTGATGACTTCGATGCGGTGAGTAGCATTCTGCTCCACAGCAGCAACACGCGCTTCGGCATTAGAGATATTGATCTGAATCTGCCGCAGCGCGTCTGGGTACTGCTTGATGTGGCGGATCGTCTCGGCAAGCTGCATGGATAGCGATCCAGCACGCTTTTCGTTGAACTGATGGATCCGCTCATCGAACTCAATAAGTCGATCATTGATCGTCGAGGTGAGCTTCGCAAAATGATCTTCAAGCGTCTCGTGATCAGAAATCCGCCTCTCGCGGAAAGAGTCCTGAAACTGCATGAACAGCTCACGCTCTTTCCTCAATTCGGCCTGAAGAAGCTCCCACATGTCTCGGATCTTGCTCTCAAGCGCTTCGGTGATATCCGAGACGCCGTTCCTCAGTCTATCGAGGTCGGCCTGGGTGTTGGTCACACCCTGCGCGATCGCCAGAATATCGGTGGCGATGCGCGCGGATGCTTCCGACCCAATGGCTTCATCGACCAGGGCCCTGACAGCACAGGGTCCGGTATGCCACCCGCCGTTATCGATGGCGGGGGCGGCACCACCATGACCCGCCGCGGTAATCGTTGCGACGGAATCATGGGGTGCACCCGGATGCTCGCTCATGGGCTCATCGGGGAGCAAGGCTCCACCGCGGCCAGCCACCGGCCCATAGGAATCGGGGCGCGGTGGGCGGAAGGACGCCGGGTCCGAAATCGGTGGACCACGGCCGTCCGGCCCGGACCCAAAAAGGGCCCGAGCGCCCTCTGGATCCCCGCGAAGGGACAGAGGACAAGCTGAAAGATCGGTCGGAAGAGGAGTAGGTGCGGAAGCAGCAGGAGCAGCGGACGCAGAAAAGGCAGGCAACAAAGGCAAAGCACGAGCAGTGGCAGAAGCAGGCAGCATGCCGGCGGGCATCGTGCCAGGCGTTGCGAAAGCAGCAGCAGCAGAGCATGGCAAAGGCGGCGCATGGTGCTGAGCTCTCTGATCGTCCTCAGCAGGCGGCGAGGCAAGCAGCGAAGCAGAGCGAGCGAGCGAAGCGTGCGAGGCGGGCGCAGTGCAGCGAGATGCGTGGGCACTATCATCGGGCTCCACGACATCCCGAGCAACTGGCGTCACTAGTGAAGAACCGACAGTCGAGGGGACACGGGGAGAACCGATCGGAGTCGCCATTCTCTCGGTGGCGCGACCAATCACAAGTTCCGAACTTGGTCTGAGCCAGGAAAACGGTAGTGATCGGACGCTGATTGGATCAGGCGGTCCGAGTGCCAAGCAGCAGCAGCGAAGCAGCAATCCACAATCGGATGCGGAGGCCCTACGGCTGATAACCTGTGAAAAGCGGAGGATTCCACTCAACTCTCGGTCACAAAGCCCAAGGCAACCAATCGTAGATTAAAGCAAGGCAGCAAAGCAAAGCAAGGATGATCAGAGTTAAAACCGTAAGATTGACGCTCAGCGGAAAGACAACACCAGAACCCCCAGGCTCTAGCGGATCTTTTGCTGGGACTCGCGCATGCGGTCCTTGAGCAGTCAAGCTGCGTAGTGAGACAAAGTTGGCGTGAATCCTAACCAAGACACAGAAGCACATGTACGCATGTCCGTGACAAATCACACCTACCTTTGCAAGGCCATATAAAAAAGACTCAACAACCAAATTTCCAGGCACCCCCAAGCCGAAGCTAAACATGTCGACCTGCCGTGGGTAATGAAGCTCACCATAGACCCTAAACCCTAAACCCTAAACCCTAAACCCTAAACCCTGTCTTGGGTATATTTCGTTTCGGTACGTCTGGCTCATGGTTCTCAAAGTTTAGGGTAACAGGGTATGTTTACGAACTCAAACCCTGGGACCCAAATAGGGTTTAGGGTTTAGGGCTGAAGCTCAGCTACTGGATGTTGCCTACCTTTGCCAACTCATGTCTGGGTCATGCTTACTCCATTCTATACTCCCTTAGCCCCCCAACCTTAAAAACAGAAAAGCGAGCTCTCACCCTTGAAACTATAGACTCACTAGATGCTGAACCCTACATTATGATACCGAAGTTATTATTAGATAGGGAAACCGCAGAAAATTTACTAGTTGATGATGATCCCTACGCCCTGTCACAATGACCGGAATCGCAGCAAAACGATCGGTTCCTCCCTCGACATCTATACCTGAAAGCCACGAACGGTTGGACGCTGAACCATCAGACGCAAAGATTCGGGGTTTCGGATTATCGGGCTTGCGCAGCAAACCCTGCCTGAGCTACTGCCCGGACCGCGCATAAACCTAAAAGACATGGCTCCGTAGTAAGGCCCGGCAACCCTCAGCCCTAAACCCTAAACCGTCCCAAGCGGGGAAACAAAATGATTCCTGCATACAACCCTCTGTCCTTCGTCCATAATTACGGCCTTCTCATCTCGAATATAATATATATATATATATATATATATAATATAATATAATACAATAAATTCATTAATTACTTACCGATACTGTTTTGGGGGCTCCTTATTAAGTTATAGTATCATAGGCCCCAAACCCTATTCAAATTGTTAAGGCTCCTCTAATACCTTACCTCCGCACCTTATTCTACGGCCCCTACAGTTTGGCTGACGGCGCTCGCCAGACCCTTCTGCAGACCCTGGTCTTGTACACAGGGACTGTGAAAAGAAAAATGGCAAAGGATCCTCATGCAGGCGACGCGACGCTTGGTTTAGGGGTGTAGATGTTTGACTCTTTTCCAATGCAGGTGGGAGGTATAGGGCTGTAGGGTTTAGAGCCATACGTGGAGGATCATGGGACTTAGTAAGTAGGGTTATAAGTACCTTAGTTGGGGCTATAAGCAATTATGACTGTAGTTACCTTCCCTGTAACCCCACTTACTAAGTCCCATGAGCCGTTAAGTTGGCTTTGACTCTGCGGTACTCGCTTTGGGGCTTAGGAATTTGCCCTGAGGTTCAGGGCTTTGGGCCCTGTTGGGGCCCTGTTGGGGTTGAAGGATGAACACCTGACACATCCTGACAGCTAAAATGTTCATCAATTTGGTTCGTGGATGCAGGACTTCAGGATTATGGCGAAGCAGAAACCGAAGTAAGAAAGAAAAGAAGTCGCACACAACTAAATGAGCGGGTGACAAGGAAGAGAATTGCCTATAACATTACACGACCTTACGCTGACTACTGCAGATACATGAGCAGCTGGAAAGATCGCACACTATGACTCGAGCAATGTGTACACCTATCACAGCCGATGACTGCTTGGAGGATTGAAGGATCGCCTGAATGCTTCCATGATGCTTATGAGATTGGATGACTGGTGGAATCCCAAAAAGAGGATGAATGCAACGACTCCGTGTGTGTGTGGGGGGGGGAGGGGAGAGAATGCAATCTTCCTGCCTGCCCCGAACGCGAATCAGAGCATGTGAGACTTGGCCGTAACAGTAGGTGGGAATCCAGGCTTATGTATCTCCGTGTCGGGACGGGTTTTGGCTATGGCTATGGTATGGGCCATTTTCCAACTTGCTCATACGACTCATACGACTTGCAGTTTTGAAAGCATGGGGAAGGACCTAACATACAACAACCGACAACTGTAACAATGTCTCGCCTCATGCTACGTTACCAGAATAGGGATCTATAAGGGCTCCTTTAAGTGATCTGTAAGGGTTACGTTAAGGGTTTAGGAATTTAAGTTAAGCTACGGGTTCAGGGTTCGGTCTACCCTATGTACGCCTGAAGCCAGCCCATCGGAATTCTGTAGTATGGACATTTGACAATCCTAAAACCTTAAACCCCAAACCCAAACCCTAAATAACCCCATCCTAAAACCTTAAGCCCCAAAACCCAAACCTTGAACCCCAAACCCTAAATCCTAAAACCTCAGATATGAATCTTTAGACCCTCGAGGGATCTTCGGCACAGCCACAGCAGCTCGCGAAGGCATTGAGAAGCCACACATAAAGTCCCGGACTTGGACACTGCGCAATGCGTGCTCCCTTGGTGAGTTTCGGGGTTTTAAAATCCAGGACTAATGATCCATAAACTCGGAGTTAGGATTGGGGGAACCTTGGGGATATAGACCCTCTGAATACCCTTTTAAGAGATCCCAAGAATCCAGGGTCCTAGAAGTTGCTGTGGGAGGGACCCCTGTAATATATAGGGGCCTGAATAATTAGAATACGGTTTTGGGGGGGCCCATTATACTATAGATATAACAAGGAACCTACAATAGATATAAAAGACACCCCCAGAATAGTATAGGTAATTATTTAAGCCCCTATAGTACAAAGCTTTCGCGCAGCTTCCAGAGGCTTGTTCGGAGTTCTCATACTGGCTCTTTATGGTGCTCCTGGAACAGGAGCCTGAAACCATGCATATACATTTTTGCTTAAGCATACCAAAATACACACATGCACATACATATATATATATATATGTATATGTATATGTATACATAATATATACATACATACATGATAGAACAGTCTTGCGGCACAAGGTTGTGGACGCATGGCACGGCATCGGGCTTTTCTTGGCCGGTTTCTCTTCAGGACGAAAAGCCTCTGATTAAATCCCTTGTCTACCACCTTCCCCGAAGACCAAGCCCTCACCCCAAGCCCCACTTGCAGAAACTATGATTCTATCTTGCCCGTACTCAAAGCTCTGCTCGTGGCTGCCTATGAACCTGCATTTGAAGGAGACGCTCCGAAACCAAAGTCGCAATTAGCTGTGTACGTACAGGAACGGTTGTAAAGATTACGCGGCTGCAGTTGCATCTGTTGCATCACCAACTACGGTACCAAGTTATAACAACCCCGCTGCGACACGCACCTTCCCATTGCCCTTCTGTCGAGGGTTCCCGCTGTTACCCCGAAAATCATGGGACATTCTGCTAGCATCCTGGGATAGTAAAGGTAGCTTGTGAAAATCAGGAGGAATACTAACCCGTAAAAACTCGACCCTGGCACACAAATGCAGCCCCAACACATAGATCGCACTGAAAGCCATGTTCAGAGAATGGTGCGCAATCCATCTTAGGGCTTTGGAACGGCGGAGGTGTGTAGGTGTGTCGAGGATGTGCTTGTCTGGAAGGGCAACGGTTTCCGATTCTTGCAAGCCAGGCAGAAAGAAATCAACCAAGTTCAGGCCCTAACAGACAGCCAGAAAACAACCAGGCTAAGATGCTAAACCCCGAAACCCCTGATGTAAACCCTAGACCCTAAACTCTGAACCCTCAAACCTCAACCCCTAAACCTGGGTAACTTGGCCCCAAAAGGTGCCTTGTCCAAGTCCGTCTGAAAAATGGGATGGAATCAAAAAACGCATGCAGACGGGGCTGCGACAAACTCATCACCTGGCCCCAATTGACTCGCACAGGAGTCTTCAAATCACAGCCGTGAAAAACTCATTGTCGTTGTAAAATCCACATTCAAAAATGTGACCGGTCGTGCACGAAGGGCTCTGCTGGCCAGGGTCTACACTACACAACAGCAAGTCTCTACAACGAAGTGTATGTTAAGTAATAGCCATACCGTCGCCATCAATTGAGGTGTACCGAAGTATATGCATGTGTTTTGCACCTAAGTACATAGATAGATAGATAGATAGACAGAGAGGTAGGTAGGCAGGTATATAGACAACGTAGATATACGGAACACATATGCCACACAAATGCACACACGCACATATACGCAAGTGCACGTATGTGTGTGTAATTATGGGGTGCAATACCTCTGTGTACCGGCGTCCTACATGGCATCTCGGATTTTGTTTTGGAGATAGGGCTTGCTCCACATCGCGGTAGACCCCGCAGAGGGCCCTTTTGATACAGAACCAATTGATTGATGACCAAGTCGTTCAAATGCATCGCACACTCCTTCTGTTTAGGTTCAGGGTGTAGGGCCTGAGTTGGGCATGATGCTTTGACTGCGCACATGGATTTTAGCGCATCGGTTGCGTGACGCTTCGGAAATCAGGCCTACCCAGAGGCTCCATAGTAGTTCCTTTTTGGGATTACCTTATAGGATTCTATATATGAAGCCCAAAAAGGAACTACTTTGGAGCCTTAGGGTAGGTGCAGATAGAGTGTGCGTGCCAAAGCCTTCCTGGCTGGCGAATCACTGCTGGCATTACCAATTCCGAAACTACTGAGGGTTTAAGGTTTTTTTTTGTTTTTTGCGGGCCCTTTTCAGAGGTTTGTGCTTTCAGGTTTAGGCACCCTGAGCTCTGCTTTGGAGCGCTCCAAGGCGATCCATTGCTAGTCGAGGGGGGATAGCGTACAGTGTAAATGTGCAAAGCTCGGGGTGTTTAATGTGAACCTCTGGTTTAGTAGTAAACTGACTGTCCTGAATATTCAAGCCCTAGAGGAATAAGTCATAATAGACCTTAATCCCCAATTCCCATAAACCCTAAGCCCCTAAACGGCTGTATTTGCCAGGCTCGACTTCTAGACCTAAGAGTAACCTAGGAATGGAAAGGGTGCCCTTTTTGGTTTAGAGGGGGTTAAAAGGGAACCTGAACCCTAAAAAAGGGAATAAGGGCCTACTCTGGGTCCTAGACTTTAAACTTCTACTTTAGGAGGGCTGAGAGTTCCTTTCTCGTCCGGGTGCTGATGGCATACAGGGAACTCCAGAAAGCTGGAATCTGGTTTCAGGGTAGGATACCCTATAATTTACTATAAAGGGTTTAGGATAATCATATTCCAACTTTCTGGCTTTTACTTTACAGGCTTTTTCGGGAATGGGGCTTAGCTCAGCATGTACTGTAGCATGTAGAGTTGAGGGTGTCAAGTACCAAACATCACCGTTGAAAAGAATGGATTGGAGATGACAAGTCCGGGGTATTCGGACAAAACTGCCACAACTTATGACTCAGAACCCGAAACCCTCAACTGGAAACATCCTACCCTAGCGCTCCAAATACTGTGATAATAGGCTACGGGCCATAAAAGATGCTAACACCATAGCCCTTTGTCTCGGAAAGTGGAACCCTTGGGCTAGAAAAACGTATTACCGAAAAGGACTAATCCGGCAAAGTCCTCAAGTGTGACATTCCACCCCACCGACCAATGAAACTAAGGCCGCAGCCATAATGGAGTTGGGTGGTTTCTGGTTCGGGGTCATTGATTTAAGAACCTCCAGAACTAGATTTAGATCCTTTTTAGAAGCGCACTACACTTGATATAGTATAGGAGAGAAAAGGCTTGCACAATATAAAGCATGACATAATTAGCACAATATGGAAAACTGTATAGTACTACTGTATAGTCATAATATAGACAAACATTGTAGACTACGCCTAAACCCCGTGGTCTTGCCAGTCAGTCTGTGCAGCCAAAGGCATCTGAGATAGTCTGGTATCTCTGCGTTGAGAGAGGGTGTAAAGCTCTGGGAGAAGCAGGCGGATGAGGCTGTCTACCTAGACCCTCCATCTACCCTCTATTAGACCCTAAATGCTCCTTATTTGGGACCACATACCCCTATTTGAGGGTACAAGGAGGGTCCTGGTAGGATCGTAGAGTTATAAGTACCTTAAATGGAGTTTACCCCAGCTATAACTCTGCTTATAATCTACTTACTAAGTCCCCTGCCCCTCCAAGTAGGATCATCCCCTAAACCCTAAACCCTAAACCCTACTGTCTAGGATCGAATTAGGGTTGATGTGGTGTCTGGACTAGGGAGCTTCCGAAAATTAGGGGTACCTTATTTGGGGGTCCTTATAATAAGGATCCTACTATTTAGGGTACTATAGTACCTTATTTGGGAGTCCTTATAATAAGGATCCTACTATTTAGGGTACTATATTAGGGTTCCCCATTTTCGGAATCTCCCACTAAGCGACCCGGGTAACTCTCACCTCGGAATCCTCTTGCAGTTCAGACTCGCGGTTCCCAGAGACTCCAATATCCCTTAATTAAGGAATACTTGGAAGGGCAGGGGACTTAGTAAGTAGGTTATAAGTAGAGTTATAAGTACCCTAAATGGAGGTACCCCAATTATAACCCTTAAGCCGGAATAACCTACCTTTTAAGGACATATATAAGGAAATCATAATAAGGAACCCTAAAAAGGTAGGTTATTCCGGCTTAAGGAAAGGAATCCAGTGGAAGCCCAAAAGTTGGAAACCCAATAGCCTCAATCCCTAAGAGTCATGTATAGGGAATCACGATCCCTAATATGATTTAAGGAATATTCCTTATTTCAGGAGTCTTTGGGTTTCGTCCCTGGCATTAGGCGACCTAGTCCCAGAGCTTCCGCCGCGATAAAGGATCTAGATCAAGGAGTGAAACCAGAAGAGCCTGAAAAGCTGGAGAGAGAATCCGAGACACCGGAACCTCGCAGGTGCTGCTTGCTTCGGTTTAGGGTGTAGGGTTTAGAGTGTGGGGTTTAGGGTGTAGGGTTTATAGTTTATAGGGGTTTAGGCTTTGGGGTTATAGGGTTGATGCACAGATTTGATTATCTCTGGAACCCCTCAGTCGTCTCAGCTGCGTGTCTGTCTGTGAACCCGATACTCACCAATGTAGAGCCCTGATACGTAACCTCTCTTCTCCAATAACCAGGCCCCAAAAAGTTCAGACTTTGTAAGATAGACCACTATATGCATAAAGCAAAAAAGTTTAAAGTTCTCCAATTGGCTAAGTAAGTAACCACCTCCTGTTACAGGGATTACAGCTGATAGTATAGGAAGCTGAATGTCAATCAAAAGGGTGTATTGTTCAGAGGTGTGCAAGCAAAAGCAAAACTCCGTTCTGAGGGATGGAGGGATGGCGGGGGTCTCAATCCTGAATGCTGAAGATTCAACGCACCGGGGCCACCAGGGGTCGTGGGATGCTAGCAGACATCCTGCAACCCATCCCCGGAACTATCGTGGTTTGGGGCCAGGGCGTTGGGCCTTGAGGGCTCTGGATCTAGCTTAGGACGGTTGGGCATTTCGCTGTTTTGCCAGATGCCGTGGATTACCGGGGCCTTAATGATCAGAACCATGTAACCCTGAACCCTGAACCCTAAACCCTAAACCCTAACAATGTAATGGGGCCGAGCCTTCGTCCCTGCAGGTCCAACGGCAAGGGTCCTCTTGTCGAGGAAGCGCTTCATGCCGTGCTGTCGCACGTAGGAATAGGCCTTTACCAAGTCAAGCACCCTAAAAAGTCGTCTCCTCACGATGGACATGGGATGATGAACGAAAAACTAAACCAACCAACAAGTGCAGAAAACCAAATCTTAGGGATGCACGCACAGACTACGTACTGCACATGTGTAGCTTGAGACAAAAGCGCTTCTCGTGCAAGTGTCGGAGACTCGGAGAGTTGCTACCAGGTCCAACCATAGCCCTACCCGGCAATCCACAACCCTCGACACTCAAACCTCAAGCTTAAACACCACTCGCTAAACCCATCAAACCTGACCTCAAACTTAAACCTTAAACCCGGTTACCCTGCCCTACAAAGAGGGTGCCGGCTTGTGTGCACACAAAACCCAAATCGTGTTCATGAGGATTGTCGAGACCTTATAAACAGTTAAACCAAAAAGCACTGTGATGTAATAAGCACGTATGTACCGATGATTATGCGTACTGATCGGTTCTCATATACAACCGTATAGCCTGGAGCGAAATCTGTTGCTAGATTCTGTAAATATCATACGCCGAGAGCGAGAGCGAGAGCGAGAGCGAGAGGGGGCGACAGGGCGAGAGGGAGAGGGCGAGGGAGAGGCAGAGGCAGAGGGACAGGGAGAGAGGGAGAGCTATCTGGCTGCTAAGGCAGCCCGGCGATGTGCAGGTCAGAAACGGGTTTATTAGGGTTTGGACAAAGAGGTCTCTTAATGACACAAACTGAGGCCTGCCGACGGAAGACGAAACCGTCCGGCCGACAAAGCCAGAGAAAATTCTTCATAGGCTCGACCATGGTAGCTTTTCTGGAACTTCACAAACAACCGGAACGCCCAAAGCGTGCCAGTTGAAAGACTTAATTACACATGAACCCGGTGTCTTCGCAGAAACCCTGAAGCGCGGCCTTGCAGTCGCCAGCAGTGCTCTGCCAAGGGTAGGTGCCAGTCGCCAAGACGTAGCCTACCACCCCGCATGCAAACAAGTCGGCTGCCCGGGCATCGTAGACGGCGTGCCTTCGCTCCCACACATCCGGTTTCGGGTTTGATTGAAGTCTCGGGTTTAGGATTGAAGTCTCGGGTTTAGGGCCACATGTCCATTTCGTAGCAAGGCACACCCATGCCTATTGTATACCCAGCTTTCATGAGGGGCAGCCAGCCAAACATTAAACATGTAAACCGACGAAAAGAATGAAAAGATAACATGTACACATACATACATACATACATATATATATATATATATATCACTTATATTTTACTCAATTGTTTAACCATATGATAAACGAACACGTAAATGCATGAACAAAGCAGATCAATACATACATACATGTTTACAAACATACATACATACATACATATACATACATACATATATATATATATACATAATACACATATACATATATACATGCACATGTACATTTCGGGGAACCAAGACGCTCCCCAAGAGTCTCTGGAGCCCGGTACATCAGCTTTCCACGAGCCCCCGTCGCATTCGAGAGGTCAGTGTCGTGCAATGCCATGGCGAAGTCGAGAAGGGCCACCTCCACCTCTCTACTATAGGAGCCTGAATAATTACCAATACTATTTTGAGGGCTCCTTATTATAATTATAGTATAATGGGCCCCAAAACCCTATTCTAATTATTAAGGCCCCTGTATTACTTGGAGGGTCGAGGGATTTAGTAGGTAATTGGATAGTCAGTAGGGCTAGAAGTACCCTCAAAGGGACCATACTTACCAGTCTATAGAATAACTACTTACTGAACCTCCCCCGACCCTCCAAGTATGGGGTAGAAGTATGACTATAGGCATACAATATTGGGACATTCCGATGGAAGGGGGGGATCAAGCAAAAACTAGTTCGGACCCCCTTACTCCACCTCACCACCACTGACGCGCAGGATGGCATTCTCGGCACTTACGTCCCCATGCGCGATGCCCAAGGCATGAAGCTGTGTAACCACGTTCAGCAAAGAGTAGAGCACCTGCGCCGCGGTAGCTTCCCTTTCTGGCCCGACCTCCCCCAAGTCGCTGGCAAGTTCAAAGAGGTCCCCACCAGGAGACCACTCCTAGTTCGTGGTTGGGATAGGATAAAAATGTACATGTTTATTCCTTATTGGGTTTTAAGTACCCATTCAGAAAAAATTTAAAATGTTACCCAACTATGACAAAGACTCCAACATCAAGAGCACATCATCCCGGGAGTCTCTGTACACGCCCCAGCATGGGACAACACCCCGCATCCGCGCAGGGCCCTGGCCCAACTTCAAAGCCAGGAATAGCTCGGTCCAGGGATTCTCTAGCTGCTCCTCCGGCTTCGTCTGTTGAAACACTTCTGGACTATGCTGGAGATATTCCCGAGGGAAGCGCTTTGCCACAACCTTCGTGTCAGATGCTGCGTGGTCAACGAGGACTTCAATCTGTGCATGTTGTCCTGAGCAGGTCCAGGGCACGAGGGGTTCTCACGATATTATAGGGCTTTGCACTCTCAGGATTGAGGCTTATACGATGGGGCTTCCTTCGCGGACAGAGCGAATCAGATTGACTTGACGCTTGTAGGGTACATGAGACCTTGGCCATAAGCTGGCAATCATCTGTAAGCCCAAAGATATCGCTGCATGGCTGGGACATTTGTACAATGGAGGCCGGACTGATTACAAGTATGATTCCTAAGATTCCTAGGGCTCCTTACTATAAATATACTGGAATGTTCCTCAAAACCCTATTCTATTTAGTAAGGCCCCGACACTAATTTCCAATACCTCCGCACTGTGGTTTGAGGGTCCTTGTTACTTGGATCCTGCTATGTGGGTATGCTAGGTCCCATGTTTGTAAGACTCCTACATCCTCCACAACCGGTTCATTTCAAACTTCCCGGAGTTCTTGGCAAATCACACGAAAGGGCCCATAACGGCGCAACAACACTGAAGTTGAGAAGACTCTCCGACATGTTTTGGTGAGCGTTCGCAGCTTCAGGTCGTGAGATACTTGCTTGCTGCTCGCTTATACCTCCCAAGTCCTGAAGCCTAATGTAGGAACCTGATTAAGAAACCCTGGGCCTATAACCCAAAAGAGTAGTAGGGTTCATACAAGGAACCCTAATTTAATAAAGGCCCAGGTTCCTACATTCACCATAAAAGGCAAGGCCTGCTCCCTGAATCCGGGTCCCAGAAATGACCAAGTACCCTAGACTTCAGGGTTTTTCGGGCTCTCCATTCCACCAGCCTTCATCCGACGGTCGCAAGATGTGTTCCAAAGAAAAGCGCCCTGGCCTCAGTTTTGGAACTAATCATAGGGGGGCCTCTCTGGGGTCTGAGAAGGGTTTTAAAAGAACGGGTTCTGTAGGAGTTTGGGCTTCAGAGTGGTAGGGCTTGGAACTGTGAGGTGGCTGTTTGGCATCCTGATGGCTGTTAGGGCTTAGGATTCCGGGTTTAGAGCCTGACAGTTCAATTCGTTGGTGGTTCGGGCTTCCTTCAGGGTGTGACGGGATTGAAAGGACTCGCAAAGCTTCAGATGATCCTTGAGTCCTTGAGACATTCGGAATAAATACCCGTGAAGAGGACGGACAAGATGGGGCTCACTATGTCTGAGCCAGCGCCTAGTACCGGCTGCCTACACCTGAAACGTAATACATCAACTCTGCGATTGGCTCACGATTCTTCCTGACACGCCGCATCAGCTGCCACAGAATCCTTGCAAACACGAAGGACTCCTGACTAAACCGGCACCCTGGACGCCAAACCCCGAACGCTGCATCATTAACAAGCCTGTAAAGTCTTGTAAACCTTACAAAAACCTTTGTACACCCGTATAACCTTATAAACCACTACAACCTTATTAAACCAAGCCGGGTGGCTCTATCAATGGAAAGCAGTCGCGATCGAAGCTTCGGAAATCCAGATCCTTGGCTTTTCTGAATATCCCCTTAGTCATATGGGCCATACGTGCACCAAGTGCACCCTGCTTCCCGTCATTCAGTTTTGGGCCTAGGATTTGGGGTTCGGGGGGAGGAGGGAGGCTTAAATATATTAACCAGGAAGTTTCAAATGCAGAAACCAAAAAAACAATAGATGTGCTATTGCTGGTCCTAGGATCAATGGAAGGGATGCCATCGTCGACTACCTCAGTACCAGCCAGCTTGAGGTGCGTAGGGTTTCTGTATGTTCTTGTGTTTGGCTCGGGTCTGTTTTGGGCTGATGCACTTGTATCAATGTATCTATACGCGTATAAACACCTATAAATGTATATATATATATACACACACATATGCACACTATATTAATATTAATATTAACATATATACATATATTTCACGCCTAGAGCAAGCCACGGAATCAGTTCGGGCTCAGAGGACGTCCAGGGCTGGAGGCTTAGAGGCTTAAGATATATGGGAGTAAAGGATTTAGGGTTTACCTCTGCCCCAGAAAACTTACCGTCTTAAGGGGTTATATATATATATATATATATTACGAACCATAATGGGCAACCTCCAGAACTATAGGCTTTTTGGCTGCAGTTAGGGTTGGAGTCGGGGGGTTCAGGTTTTTCGGGTTTCTTGGTCCACGGCTGGTAATGTGAGGGCCTTGATAGTTAGAATAGAGTCTTGGGGGCTCCTTATTATAATCATAGTATAATATACACCAAAACCCTATTCCAATGATTAAGGCCACTATATGGTGTCACCTTCCGTGGATTCCTGGCTTGATGCAGTTGTCTTGATGATAGCCCAGGGCTCAGTGGCATCTTAGAGTACACTCATGTAAGGTCTCGTAAGGTGTAGACTAGTGTACGAATAAAGAAACTGTAGCGCGTCGGTTCTAGAAATATGTATCTGGCGACGACGAGGAGGCAGGATTACTTCTTCCATATTCGGCAAGCTACGACCTTTGGCCACGCAGCAGGCACGTCAGGATCGAACGCTTTGGACGACTCCTGGGCTCGGAAAACACTCCACAACCCTAGGCCAGATGTATTGAAATCTCCACCCCGGACTTAAACCCAGCAAATTCTGCAGGTTTTGAAGCAATGAATATCTCACATCACCCTAAGACCCTAAACCCTACAGGCCCCACAGGAACTGCTGGAAATTGCTGCTTTTTTTTTCTGCCGCGGCTCCTGAAGGGCATCCTCGAACTGTGAGCCTTCGTTTGCTCAGCTTGAAGTCGATTCTGTGATTTAAAATTTAGGGTTTAGGGTTTAGGGTTTAGGGTTTAGGGTAAAAGCTTGGCACATATATAATCGGGTCTGGGTCCATGGTCTCGAGCTTGGGTTCTTGTAGCATCGTCTTGGCGTGAGGACATCTGCTATTGATGTTCAGTTGCTCAAGATCCCGAAAGCCAGTCTCGGTAATTATTTACGCCCCTAGGCCCCTAAGCCTATATTACTTACTTCCCTCTAGCAAACAGTCTTGGCAGCTTAAACAAGTTTAGACAGGTTGCCGCTTGCACCGCTTATCCCTCATCTATTCCTAGAGCCACCAACTCCGAGGGCCCAAGCCCCTTTAAACTCTCGACCCCCAAGCCTCAATCGCACACCCCTAAGCCCTGAAGAAGAGTTCCCCCAAAAGCTCCAAACCCTACAGTACAGGCCTCAAAGCTCAAGCTTGGGGTTATAACAGAACCCTACGAGCGAAGCTTCTTTCAAAGGGGAAAAGGAGGGACCTTTAATGGGGACCCCTACCCTATAATGGGCTATAGAATGGGTATAGAATAGCTATATTAAGGGTATATGCCTAGGGGTCCTTCTTAAGGGTCCCTCCTTTTACCCGTGGATTCATTGCCAGGCCACAACATGTACTCACCAGGCTCCCCTCGCGCTCGCCAAAGGCCGCATCTTTGACATGAGGAAACTCCATGGCTTCTATTCTTGGTCACTGAATCCTACGACAAGTGCCCCAAGCCCCTAAACCCTAAAACCCAAACCCTAAACCCTAAACCCTGAGCCCAAAAGCATTTAGCCACAACACTTGTAACCCAGGCCGTGGAGGCTGAAGGCCCAGAGCTTGTAGCCTAAAGCTTCAACCCCTGCAGACCTAAACCCTGCAGCCCTAGACCCTAAACCCTAAACCCTCAATCATGGATCTCGTCTTTCAGGCAAAGACTCAGCATTCGCGCATCCAGCACTTCCGCCATGATATTTCAAGAGTTCTGCCCTGCCCTAAATCTAAAGCTCCGAACCCACAACCCCTAAAACCTATGCACCAACTTTCCCTGAAAGGCTATGAGACCCGATGAAATCCGATAAACCCCAATCATTTCTCCAAAAACCCTACATCCACCGCTCGACCAGCTTTGGAAAGTTTTAGACGTAACAACACCCTCAGGTCCTGGTTGGACAGGGAGCTCGCCCTTACAAAGAAAGTAAGCCATGCTCCGCAAATCAGGCTGAGGATTGTTCATGCTATCGATCATTCTGTAAGTGAGGGGTTAGAGGCCGAAGAGAGCCCCAAAAAAGAATAAGAACCAGGACAGGGATACCAGAGCATAGCCCGATTGAAATGATTGAGGCCCCTGTGTGAGCGGAAGCCTTAGGATTTGGAATCCCTCCATAAACCATCCCAAACTCACATGGATCCCTGGTGTCGGCGCTCGGGGTTAAGATGCTCGAGCTTTGGGGCTCGGTAGTTGGAGGAATCTATCCTGATGCCCTATATAGTACCCGCAAAATGAGTTCCTAACAAGAAGCCATTCAGTATCCGTTAAAGTAGCCCTACTCAAAGTATTCAGGCGCCCATATGAATCCCCTTTCAGATTCACACCCTTATAGAACCCTCAAAGGAACTCTTGCAGAACCCCACAGTAGCCCGAACGGCTTTGAGCTTCGAGGAGAACGGTGTGCCCTAAACCCTAACCCCCTTATGGAATCATGACAGTAACCCATTCAGGGACGCTTTGTAAGGGACGATTTAGAAGTCCGTACTTAGCCGCCAAACCGTAAGTATACAATCCTTACAGTCCATGTTTAAGGAGCCGTTTAAGGAACCCTTATGAACCCCCACAACCGCTAAACCCTGAACCCCAACCCTTAAAACCTCAAATCCCAAAATCCCCATACCCCGAAACCCCAAACCCCACAACCGTGCCCGTTCCACCCTGACGGGCCTGTCCTGGGGAGAACATCGAAGTCCCGAGCATCACCCAGAACCACTCCTGGTCTTTGATTTAGGGCTTCTTTGAGGGGTTTAGGATTTATAGGGTTTAGATTGTTTACGGTTTTAAGGTTTAGGGTTTCAAGATTTAGGGCTTTAGGGCTTTTGGGTCAGGGCGCGGGGTTAAAGGGGGGGTGGGGAATTTTTTTGGGCTTGAGGGTTCTAAAGCATATAGTATAGGCGCCTCATTGCTACTAGGAAAGTGCATGCCAGGAACCTTACACTTGCCTCGGGGCATTCGTAAAGAGGGCTTAGCTGTGAGAACAAACTTCTTTATTATCCCAGGGGGGCATATCACAGTGTAAGCAGCAAGGGGCTGCAAGATATTACTAACACAGCTGTTCAGACACCTACATCGTGGCTTCGTCGGACAGTACGCAACGCATTTCAACGACTTGGTTGGACATCACATATGAGCCCTTCTGGCTTCGCTGTGTGATGTGCTGCAGATGTATATAAGAACACATCCTCACAGGTCAACTTCGCGGTTGACGGACCGACAAAGCAGCACAAAGCGAAGCTTTTCAGCTCCGCGCCTGGCGCGGCATTCCGAGCAGTCTGGATACCTTCCCGTGACACCTGCGTTGTATGCCAGCACACATGGGAGTTTCCGAAAATTAGGGGTACAGTATTTTGGGGTCCTTATAATAAGGATCCGGCTATTAAGGGTACTGTAACAGGGTCCCCTATTTTCGGAAACTCCCACATCCTTCAACAGGGCAGACACGGCCGCTGCCTCGCACTGCCAGGCTCCCTCGCCACGAGGCGATGAGCATCTGCAAGGCCAGCATCCTGGATCCTTATGAACTCCATAACAGGCTGGTGTGTGTCGCTGAGCAGTGCGAGATGCTGTGATTGCTTCCCTTCCATTCCTCGAAAGTTTGTGAAGTCTCACAGACCACAGACTGAACAGACACTCAGGCTTAGGGTTAAGGGTCAAGGGTTTAGGGTTTGCCTGTTTACCGTGGCAAAGAGCCTACGTGTTCATGTGCTTGCTGGGACAGCGTCTCTCTAACTGGACCTATGCAAGTGCACAGGCGATACATGGTTTTTGTACAACTATCCACAGTATAATCCACAGAAAAGACCTCTAAATGTACTCACCAATTAGTCCGAACCAGCCCAAGCTACACTGACAAAGAGGGCCTACTTCGTGTACATGTAGAGTAACGCAGAACAAGCGAGAAAGAGCTACGAACAAGCATACAAGTAAGTGAGTAAGTGATTATCTATGTAGCGGAGGAATGTGTAGAGCTAGATATGTATTGGTAGTTCAAATATTCCTTGTCTCAACAGAAGCCTTCATCCCCTAAACCTCGAAACCCAAACCCTCAAAGCCTAAATCCATAAAGCAAGCGAAGCTTATCCAAGATCGAGCCAGGCGCTGCCAGTACTGCCTGCAAGCGGACCTGAGGCAGATCTTGCCAAATCTGATTATAGGCTTTATTCCCTAAACGCTAAACTCTGTAAACCCTAAACCCTAAACTCTAAAAACTCTCTTGGGCTCTATCTATTCTAGAACCTAGGACCTACTGTCTCCATTGTGGGTCTTTTTGGGGGTTAAACGGCTTTTATACTTAGGATCCTGCAAGGTAACTCAAAAAAGGAACCAGCACCGAGACTATAGATAACATGAGAGATCCAACGTTCAGAGTTTAGGTTACTTGCTGAGTTTAGGCTTCCAGACCTAAGAGTAACCTAGGAATGGAAAGGGTGTCCTTTTTGGTTTAGAGGGGGTTATAAGGGAACCTAAACCCTAAAAAAGGGAATAAGGGCCTACTCCGGGTCCTAGGTTAAGTGGGATTTCAGCTTCAGAGTTAGGGGCTTGGGGTGATGGAGTTTGGGACAGCTACGCAGTGCTGCGGAGTGAACCTGTGAAGAGGCCAATACTCCACAAGGCTGTGAGATTCGAAAGGCCGTGTGAGAGCTTGGTAATTACAAGATGCGGTCGGCTTGCTCGAGCCATTTATTTGGCAATCTAAATTCACACGAAACACAGACCGTCCCAAAGCACACTCAATGCTGTGAACACCAAGGCCGCAACCCCACAACCCCACGCCCTAAACTCCCAAAGCCCAAAGCCCCTCAAGCCCTAAATTATGATTACTGCCAGCACTATCACGACCATCCTTCTAATCATTCAGGCCCTTATACTACAAATCCTATACAGACCCTGAACACCCTTTATATATATATGCCCATATGTATATATATATATATATATATATATATATACAGCCCGTTTAGTAGAAGCCTTCATACTTAAAGGAAACCCATTCCACTTATGAAGGCCCCCACCCAAAGACCCCCAAACCCGTCTAAAACCCAAACCTAAAACTTAAACCCTGCATCACTAAACCCAAGACCCTAAACCCAAGACCCTAAACCCTAGAACCCTAGAATTCTAAGCCGTAAACCCTAAATCCCTGAACCCTAAACCCTAAATCCCTAAATCCCTAAACTCCTAGATCCTGAAGGAGGCCAGCTGACAGTGCATGACCAGGACCTTGAAGTTCTCCTGAGCTGCTGAGCACGAAAAGGACCTAATTCGTGACTTTCATCTTCTTATGTTGCCCATTTTCCATCTGCGTAAGAGGCTTAGGGTTTATACAGTTTAAGGGGGTGGTTTTGAGGTGTTCAGGCTTAAGTGTTGCGGGGCGAAAATTGAGGTTTCCCGGTGCTGTGAGTGAGCATGCAGGACATGGGATTTAGGGTTTGCGTTTAGGGCTCAGGTAACAGGGCATGGTTCCGAGGACTCTATATCCGAAACCCGAAAACCCAAATTCAAGAAGGTTGCTTGAAGAGCACTCCAGTGCTTGCCATGTCTCGTCCTCATCACAGGCTATGCCATTGCAGCTGCAGATGCGATGGAGCTGATCCTGCAGTTCTCTTAGCTTGGCGCTGCAGCTCTTCTCCATGCGCCCGACACGAAAGAGACCGCAATGCAAACAACTCTTTATCCCAATAGCTCTGCAACACCCAGCTTGCACCCTCAACCTGAAACCTAAACCCTATATTACCCCTTACTACCCTACCTTACCCTAAATTACCCCATATTACCCTATATTACCCCATATGACCGTAACATACTACCCTATATCACCCCATATTAGCCCATACTACCCTATATCACCCTATATTACCCCATGCTACCCTATATCACCCCGTATTACCCCATACTACCCTATATCACCCCATATTACCCCATACTACCCTACATCACCCTTTACTACCCCATACCACCCTATATCACCCCATATTACTACCCAATATCAGCCAATTCTACCCCATACTACCCTATATCACGCTATATTACCCCATACTGTACCCTATATCACCCTATATGAACCTATATTTCCCGACATTTCTGCCCTGAGAAAGTGTCCTGCAGAGGCGACTCCTCGAACTGAACGGCCCGGGAATCGCCGTCGTCCTAGACAGGGTAGACAAGGCTTAGGCTTTAGGAGTTTAGGGGTTCAAGGGCTTAGGGGGTTAGGGTTTAGGCCTTAGGAGTTTAGGGGTTTAAGGGCTTAGGGGTTTAGGGTTCAGGCCTTAGGAGTTTAGGGGTTTAAGGGCTTAGGGGTTTAGGGTTCAGGCCTTAGGAGTTTAGGGGTTTAAGGGCTTAGGGGGTTAGTTTAGGTTTTAGGCCTCAGGAGTTTAGGGGTTCAAGGGCTTAGGGGTTCAGGGTTCAGGCTTTAGGAGTTTAG